CCCCGGCGAGGCAGCGGCCATGGCCGAGGAGTCGGGGCAGGTAACGGTTGGGGGGAGGGTCCTTTTGCCCCCCGTAAACATGTGGGGCAGGCAGGGGGATGGGGGGATCCCCTGCCCCCCTGGGGGATGGAACCCGCTTGCTTGCAATGCCCCCCCCCCCTTGGAGGCAGGGGGACAAGCCGGGATCATCCCCCACAGAGGGCCCCTGCATGGCATGAGTGGGGGCATGCCCCCAGCTTAGCCTTGCCTGGCCCACCTCACTGGCATCCCCCCGTAAACATGTGGGGCAGGCAGGGGGATGGGGGGATCCCCTGCCCCCCTGGGGGATGGAACCCGCTTGCTTGCAATGCCCCCCCCCCCTTGGAGGCAGGGGGACAAGCCGGGATCATCCCCCACAGAGGGCCCCTGCATGGCATGAGTGGGGGCATGCCCCCAGCTTAGCCTTGCCTGGCCCACCTCACTGGCATCCAGGGCAGCAGGGTTTCCATGCCTTCCTGGGGTTGTGGGGGCAAGGCAGCCCCTATATGATCCTGCCCTGGGGGAGAGGTGAAAAGTCAAAGGGCTCCAGACCCTGTTGAGCTGCCCTCCAGCATTTGCTGGGTGGGGGGTGGACGGGAAGATGAGAGAAGCCCTGTCCCCATCCCTATAGAGCTCCCATCCTGGAGGTGGAGGGAGATAGGCTGCTGTGGTCCCTGTAGGTCCCCTGGGCTGGGGGTGGGATGATCATACCCTTCATCCAACTTCTGGCAGTCTTGAGGTTGCAAGGTCTCGTTTGGGGGTCCCCTTTAAGAGAAGTGGGTGCATGGGGGGCAGGGTGTGCCCCTCACCTGCTGCAGGCAGGGGGCACAGAGAGGTCAAGCTGTGGGGCAAGTGGGACAGGAATAGGACCCAGGTGTCGGGGGGGCTCCCTTCCCCCCCACCTTCACAGGGCTATCCTCCACCCCAGCATGGGATCCAGGTGCCTGGATTGTCAGCAGCCCCCTTGCCCCCCACTTCTACTCCACCACAGGACCTGGGAGGCACCCCACCTCCCAGAACCCAGGCATCCCGGGCTCCCTGCGGGGGTTCTCAGTTGCAGATCAATGAGCTATAAAAAGCGCCTGCCTGGGTCATTAGCGCCATCGATTGGGACTTGGCAGCACCCTCAGCTCCTGCCCCTGTCCCCTGACCCAGGGCATTTCCCGGGCTTCAGGCATGTCCTGCCCATGCATGTACTGCTCTGGGGTGGGGGGCGGGGGGGCACATCTGAGGAGCAAGAAACCCAGGAGTTCAGGCTGGGCCACCCTGGGGAGGAGCTTTCACTTCAGCTGCTGGGATGGATGGACATGGCTGGGGGGGCAGCTCCCAGAAACCTGAGTTCTGTGATGGGGTGAAGGAGGGGGCTGCCCCTCCCCCGGACACCTGGGTTCTGTGGTGGGGTGAAGGAGAGTGCCTGGCTCCCAGATACCTGGGTTCTGTAAGGGGCATGAGCTGGCCTGGGAGCACTTTGCTGTCCTGTGCAACGCCTTGTACAGACCTCCTGGGCTCAGGACTGTGCTTCAGGGCATGTCCTGTCCATGCAAATGTATGCAAATAGATGCCCGTCCCCCTGGCACTGCCTGGTGCCTGCAGGCCCTGATGGCACAGCTACTGCAGGCCCTGAGTTTGGGCTGGGGCTCTCTGGATGCCTCGGTTCTGTTGTGGGATGGTTGCAGACCAGCTTCTGGGATGCCTGGAGCGAGAGGAGGGAGGGGCACTAGCTGCCTGAAGACTAGGCAGAAACAATTGGTGACGGACAGAGGGGACAAGGCTGAACTCCTCAACGAGTTCTTTGCCTCAGTGTTCCTAAGTGAGGGGCACGACAAGTCTCTCACTGGGGTTGTAGAGAGGCAGCAGCAAGGCGCCAGACTTCCATGCATAGACCCTGAGATGGTGCAGAGTCACTTGGAAGAACTGGATGCCTTTAAGTCGGCAGGCCCGGATGAGCTCCATCCGAGGGTGCTGAAGGCACTGGCCGGCATCATTGCAGAGCCACTGGCGGGAATATTTGAACACTCGTGGCGCACGGGCCAAGTCCCGGAGGACTGGAAAAGGGCCAGTGTGGTCCCCATTTTCAAAAAGGGAAGGAAGGAGGACCCGGGCAACTATAGGCCAGTCAGTCTCACCTCCATCCTTGGCAAAGTCTTTGAAAAAATTATCAAGGCTCACATATGCGAGAGCCCGGCAGGACAAATTATGCTAAGGGGAAACCAGCACGGGTTCGTGGCAGGCAGATCGTGCCTGACCAATCTAGTCTCTTTTTATGACCAGGTTACGAAATGCCTGGACGCAGGAGTGGGGGTGGATGTCGTATACTTAGACTTCAGGAAGGCCTTCGATACGGTATCCCACCCCATACTGGTGAACAAGTTAAGAGGCTGTGACTTGGATGACTACACAGTCCGGTGGGTGGAGAATTGGCTAGAGGGTCGCACCCAGAGAGT